CCCAATTTATTTGTGTCCTCCTTTTCATTGTAAAAAAGTTGGTCACCTTATTAATATAGTTCTTTCTCTTTCAATGTTTAGGGAATGCAGATTGTTCCATTGCTGTCATCAGAGCTCCATGATGAATCCCACTGGGAGAAACCCTATGAATTCTATCCTGAGCATTTTCTTGATGCTGAAGGAAAATTTGTGAAAAGAGATGCGTTTATGCCTTTCTCTGCAGGTAATATTCTCCGTATATGTGTGATTTTGTCCAGTAATAGGCAGCCCTTCTTTGTGAAGAAACCTTCACAAGAGATCATGGAACAGTTAAAGAGCAACAACAACAACAACAACAATAAAACATCCACTGAATGGGCTTCATTTAACAAAGTCTAATATAATTTTTGACCTTTTTGGGATGATCCTGGTACAAGACTGGCTTCAAAGTATTCAAAGGTGGGTAGTAAAAGGTATCAGTCTCTAGCTCAGTGGTGGCGAACCTATGGCACGGGTGCCAGAGGCGGCACTCAGAGCCCTCTCTGTGGGCACGCGCGCCGTCGCCCCAGTCCTAGGCCTTCAGCTGGGTTTTATAAAATCTTTTCGCTTTAGGCCTCCGCCGCCATGTGCAGCAAAAAAAAAAAAAAGGTTCAATCTGTAAATTTCAACCTCGCAGGAAAAAAAAGATCTTGCAAAGTTGAAATCGATTGATTGAACTTTTTAGTACCATTCAGTCTGCCGTTACCACCGCAGCCACGCCCACCCAATGGGCCACACCCACCCGGCACTCGACGATGCATAAGTGGGTTTTGGGGTGCAGTTTGGGCACTCGGTCTCTAAAAGGTTCGCCATCACTGCTCTAGCTTTTTGCAATTCCTGTGAAGGATATTAGGGTTTTCATGTTGAAAAGAAGAATTAGTTTGAGGAGAAGAAAGACTTGATTATGTGGTGTCTGGGTGTAAACCAGCATCTATACCTGATATTGGCAAAGGGAAAGGGAAAATGAGATTGGATCTTTCCATACAATATACAGTAGTAGATATTATCAGTAATCACCAGAATTAAGGCAGAAAAGCATAGGAAAATGATTCCAGAGTTACCATGGGGTGAAATAGTATGTGCACTGAAGTTAGTGTGGTGTTAAGGAACATGGCATGGAACTGAAATCGGTTATCCAAATTATAGCCAACCTCAGAATGTAAATATATTTATGGCAATTTAATAAATGCCAAGGTATAGTTAACAAACATTTTGTGAGGTTTTGAATGAGTTTTTGTTTGTTTGTTTCCTTCTTAACTGTTTTATTGACTCTTTTAAATGCTGTGCCAAAGTGGTTTATCTCTATCTGTCTACTGATGACTGATTTGTTTGAATGCCAAACTTCCAAGAATACCCGAGAGCTTTGGGATTTAGCTTAGTCTAGGATGCTCACACTTTCTCAGTTGAAACTTTGGTTGAGTCTGTCCATATGTTGTGAATTAAAGGAATTTCCTCTACTACAACATTTCCATTACTTTTAATATATTTCAGATAGTGTCTGAAATATTTGATTGCCATTTGGATTTTACAGATGTTTTCCCCCCCCACCCTCTACCTCAAATGATCTGTTCAATAGATGTATTCCTGCAATTGTAGTCATGCCCTCTGGCTACAGTGAGATGCTCAATCAACCTTCTTTTCAGGGCATCAGTGTAGAAGGATACTTATCACGGTTTGTCTTTTTTTAAGATTATCGTGATTCTGATACTACTCATTCTTATTTTATTGCTGTATTTTTATGTGTTTCCATATCAATGTTCTGTCATAACTTTTCTTTTTGCTGATCTCTCCATGACTATATGACATTGGGAAGCTATGTAAAATAGTTTACAAAAACCATAAACCACTTTTTTTTGCCATGTATGCTTTTTTTCCAGGTTGGAGAGTATGTGCTGGTGAGAACCTTGCCAAAATGGAGCTCTTCCTCTTCTTCACCAGCCTCTTGCAGAAATTTACCTTCCAGCCACCCCTGGGAACAGCTAAAGATGATCTGAACTTGACCCCAACAGTCGGGTTTATAACATCTCCTATACCATACAAGACCTGTGCCATTCCACATTCATAAGACACAAGATGTTCATAACACCACTTGTCAGTATTGGATAATGCAATTCTATATGGTTTTTGCTTAAAAGATTGTTTGAGGTTGGACTGTAATCATTTGCATGCACATAGAATCTAGATTCTGAGAGTAAAAGAAATAAGGAAATCATGACATGCTAAGTACTTTGTACTCTTATTTTTATTTTTTGGAATCATTTGTTTCCTTTTATCGTTTACTATTTTTCTCTCTTACAATTTTCTGTTTCTTTTGCTTTCAATTATTTTAATTCATTTTTAAGCAGTATAAATTTTTCTGCAATAGTTCCACATACATCTATATGTATTTATTTGTTTGAATAAATTATTGATTGGGTTGTAAATAATAGAAATAATAATAATAGAAACAATCCCGTTTTCTATGCTGCTTAGCCTCCATGTTTCCACTTGTATTGTATCTTCATCAAGCATATTTTGACATTGCTTTTAAGTTGAAGTGGTCATACTGTATCCAGTTGCCAAGGTTTAAGTTTTATTCGAAAGGATCCCAATGAAACTTGAGGAAAAAACACTATGCCGTTGGCAGAAAAGAATACATATTATATAGTCTTATCTGTTGGGTGAGGCACCCGGTCTACCAAATATAAATCAGTCTGTTCTGCCTTTCGCTCCAATCTAGGAGCATGTTTTGCAGGCAGACCTGACATACTGTGAACACTATAAATTCAAAAAATTTTCTGGCTGACAAAGTGTTAATGGGAGACTAGTATAGGGTGTGACTAGCTGATGAGGGCAAATGAGCCTGAAATAGCTATACTAGTCTCCCACTAACTCTTTGTCAGCCACAAAAAAAATTGAATTTATAGTGTTCACAGTATGTGAGGACTGCCTGCAAAACATGCTCTTAGATTGGAGCGAACGCAAAACAGACTGATTTATATTTGGTAGACCGGGTGCCTCACCCAACAGATAAGATATATATCCTCTCTGGTTTCTGCTGACAGGAGTAAGGGGGAACCTGTGATTCAAAAAGGGTAATACAGCTGCCTAACATGCAAGCTGCCCAGGTTCGAATCCCTGAAGGATGTGACTAGCTGATGAGGGCAAATGAGCCTGAAATAGCTATACTAGTCTCGCACTAACTCTTTGTCAGCCATAAAAAATTTTGAATATTATATAGTCCAAGACAAGGCTCAGGAGTAAGTTCAAAACTTTGTAACACTTGAAATAATGAGGTTGACAGGCAGCCAGTTATGTTACCAGGCTAGTTGTTTAAACTGGGATAAAAGATTGAATTAGAACCTCTGATGGCTGGATTGATCAAATTTACACTCAATATTATATTCAGAAAAAAAATTGGTATAAGATGCTGTACTTATGGTACATTACTCTGATGTTGGTTGCCAAAGTAAACAATTCATTCTCTATTGCACTGTTAGAAATAAAAATAATCAGCTGGATGATTTTATTTTTCATGTTTTGTGGCTATGTTATAGAATCCAATAATACTGGTTCATGAGTACTGTATAAAACTGCATGCATAAATGTAGATTGAAAGCTGAAGTTTTGTATAAAAATACAGTTTGGTCTAGCAGTTAAGGCACCAGGCTAGACGTTAGGAGACTGTGAGTTCAAGTCCTACCTTAGACATGAAAGCCAGTCACTTT